GCTATACCCAGTTTCTTCAACTCCCAACTCACATATGATTGTGTAATTTAAGTCTGCTTTTATATCTCAGTTCAAATGCTCCTTTTAAAAATATTTAAAAGCTCGAGGCAGTGTCTCAGGTAGCCCAGGCTACCTTGATTTTTCTGCTTCCATGTCCAAGGGCTATGATTACAGATATGAGTTAATTTGCCTAACTTCAAAAGCTTCTCTCTTAGACATTCTTTGATTCCTAGATTCAGAGGAATTCTAGATATCTTGGGATTTTACGCTACTTTGGTCTTTTCTCCCTAATGAGAATTTTGGTTATAAATTTGCATGTTTATTTGCACTTACTTAATTCATTACTATTTCCTACTATAAATTTAGTAGACATTGAGTCATACCCAGACCTCTGTTTGTATATTTATTTTAGGTCACTGTTATAGCCCCAGTAGCTAGCATGTTGTACTGTAAACAATCAGTTTCCATTGTTTGTATGGAGTGTAAACATGCAGGCTTATACTTGTCTACTTTGCACAGTCTTTTATAACGCATCTCTTCCTTCATCTATGTTGTCACTTCAAGCGCTCAGCACTTGGTGTTAGCCAGCATTCTTGAAGGAAAGAGAACTGACTGAATATATATATATAACCCCAGCACTCAAAAAATGGCTGTCTACATGCTAGTGAGGTTGAGAGCCTGGTGTTTGCTCAGTCCACATGGTTGGACAACCTAACAGTCCCAATCTGGTGCCGAAGGCCAGGAGGATTCCTGGAGAGCTGCTGGTAAGATCACCAAAGGCTGAACAAGCTAGGTTCCAGCTTCAGAGAAGGATGGCAACAGCAGAAGTAGTAACAGAGTAGATAACTAAGAAGTTGATTCCAGATCCAATCAAGTTAATAACTGTGATTAACCGTCATACGGTTCAACAGTACATACAACTCAGTGTCTCTTGGATATGAACAACTGTCACATTACTGAGTGTCCCAACTTCCATTTGTCTCCAGGACTTACTCCTGTCCCTCCTACAAGCAATTCCTACCCAAATGGTAACAAAGAATTTTGGTTTTGTAGACTCATTATCAACCATGGATGTGTGTGCCTTTGAGATGACTGCTATTCTAATCAAGTCATAGATCAGCTATTTTTGAGAAAAAAGGATTTGGGAAAAATGACCAAAACCCAGGAGCTTTTGTTAAAAAAGGAGTTAGTTCATGCATTTTAAAAATATGACTTTCACAATCTCCCAATGCAAGAAGAAACTGCTAGTGTAAGGATTGTAGTGAAAGGTGGCAGGTAATACAACCCAAGTTTCAAAAACAAGGGAGACTAGAAATGTGATCACTTCTCTGCTTGTGGAAAATTAAAAAGGGAAACAGAAAACAGACATTTCTGAGTTAGAGTCTCAAAGGAGGCATGAAATTACAAAATTCAATCTCCTTTGGGATTTTTATTATATAAAACTATTTTATAAATATAGAAGAAAAGTGATAAGATAGAGTAGGTTTTTGTTGTTGTTTTGAGGTAATACAATTACAGTAAGTTTTTCTTTATTTTGTTTTGATTTACAATTGTTTTGTCATAGGTAATATAGAACTTGCTTTTTAAAGAATGCCAAATAGTCTATAAAGCTACAAGGTATAATTTCCAATGCATGTTTACTACAGATGAAATTCCTTTTTATATCACTGAATTCAACAACAGTTCTGAGAGGAAGACAGCAAACTACCGTATCACTTTATCATCACTGTGTCCAAGTGTCCAACAGGAAAGGGAAAGAGAGGTACATTTTGGCTCATGATTCAGGAATACCATTCATCAAGGTGGGGGAGGCATGGCAGGAGTTTGCTACTTACATTTTCATGGACCAGGGAACAGAGACCTCCTGCTAGAATCAGGGGCAGGGTGTAAGATTCACCTCACTGTACCCAGAGTTCTCCAGACAAGCTCCACCTTCTGAAACATTGCCACCAGCGGGGACCAAGTCGGGGACATTTCACATTTAAACACTAACAGCCACTTAATAACAAAAGACCAAAATTTGATTTATAAGTTGAATAACACATACACACAGATGAGAGAGAGACAGACACACAGAGAGAATGAGAGAGAGAGAGAGAGAGAGAGAGAGAGAGAGAGAGAGAGAGAGAGAGAGAGCAGGGAGACAGGGAGGGAAAGGGAGAAAGGAAAAGGGGAGAGGAAGAGGGAAGGAGGGAGGGATGAAGAGATTGGTAGTCTGAGAGAGGCAGTTCGGGAATTTGAAGGCTGCTGAATCTGACTTTTGATCTGATGGCTTACTCTATCTCCTTTCAGAGTAACTTGACGCAGTTTCTTCAAGGAAGATTTTGTAAACTTCCTGACACCACTGAAAGGTATTTCTGCTACTGCTGCTATACTTAACTAGCCATGTCCATAATTGTGTATCTATCTGCTAGTGAGTGTTCTGGTTTTAGGGCAAATATGACCAAAAGTGTCCTTACCGTCTGGACAGTCCAGTAGGAGAGCTAGGATATTGCTGTAAGTGCTGAGCAGACAATGACTGTTGGCTATCAGCTTCTGGAGCCCAGAAGCATCTCATTGAATAACATGATGTGAGGTCCTGGGGTAGACATCACCAGGACATTTTCTAGTGACGGAACAAGAAAGACCAGTGCCACTAACCCTAAAGTCATAGGAGGAAGACAGGAATGGAAAAGTAGGGGACACTCCGTTCACGTGGGGATTTGTAAGTAGACCAGGAATTAGTTTAGTTTAATGGACATAGACAGTCACTGGAGTATTTTAAGTAAAATAAATATTCCCCACTTCCATATGGAAATGGGATATAGAGGAGCAAGATAGAGCCAGACAGATGAGTCAGATGGTATTATGATGTTCTGGGTGAGGGGATGGTTTGAAGGGAACAGTAGGTCTCAGACTGAAAGGTGCAGAATATACCAAGGACCTGTTAGAATACAGACAAGTGCACCTCAGCTGCACTCTTCTAGTGGGTTCCTGATCTGGTATCTCTAGAAGCAAGTGGGAAGGCTATGCTGATGTTGATTCTACAAAAGTCAAAGAGTGTCACAATGGAGAAAAAAAAGGGAAATATTTGGCATGTATTTTGAAGTTGAAGTGATGGGCCCTGCATATGATGGATTGAATTTGGGGCGTTGAAAAAGAAAGAGTTCCATCCATACTCAGAGTTTGGGGTGACAGAGATGGTTTTACCCAAGGGAGTGGGGAGGCCTCGGGAAGCCACAGGTTTGGGTAGGTGACAGTATCCAGCAATTAGTAGTAAATTAAATCCATGGAAAATTATGAAGGCATCCCTTTTTTTTTTTTTTTTTTTTTGGTTTTTCGAGACAGGGTTTCTCTGTGTAGCTTTGTGCCTTTCCTGGATCTCGCTCTGTAGAACAGGCTGGCCTCGAACTCACAGAGATCCGCCTGGCTCTGCCTCCCGAGCGCTGTGATTAAAGGCGTGCGCCACCACCGCCCGGCGGCATCCCATTTTAATGTCTGGATTATACTAAGAATAAATTAGGTGATGGGTTATGGCAATCCAGTAATCCAGTCCTTTAAATGAAGTGGCAAGGTGGTGCAAAGGATGTCCCGGGTTTTGCAGATTCTAGCTAAATGACAGGGCCAGAACAAAGGCTGAAGTCGGAAAGGGAACTTTTGGTTTTGGGAATTGATTTAAGCCAAGCAGAGAAGTGACCGAGCCAACATGATGGCTGGAAGGATGTAGAGGAGGCACTGGATGATGTTTTTGTCTGGGACATGTAGAATGCAAAGTGATGACTCAGATGTCTGCAGACTAGTGGGGAGGGTGAGGAGAAAACCTGGTTATTACTATTCACACCTGATGGTCGTAACCACAACAAACTTTAGCTGAGTGCGTGTGTTGACTCTGACGGCCATTGCTGAGTGCTTTACCTAGATTGTCTAGTTAAATTCTTACAATATTCCAGAAGAAAAGTGCCATTTTTCTAGAGATGAGAAAACTGTGAGATGATAATGTGGTTGACATCACATGTCTGGAGCATCTCAATCTGGCGTTTATACTTGATATTGATGAAATCCAACCTACTGTAGAAGTATTCAATCTGCAAAAATATAAAGCAGGTTGTGGGGTGTGTGTGTGTGTGTGTGTGTGTGTGTGGGGAGAATTACACTGTTCTGCTTCGACTCCACAATGTTTATGATCAGCCTTTAGAGAAGACACTGTCCATCTCCATCATGGTCCCTTTATGAAAATTCTAAGTTCAATTATATCATTTGAATTGATAGCTAGCTTTTTTTTAAGAATTTAATTTATTATAAACTTGGGAGCTGTGTATGGCTTGTGCCTGAACAGTATCTTCCACACAGAATTATTTTCAAGTGCTAATAAGTTAATTATAGGTTTGAAGGTGTGACATTTCCTCGAATTTCGGAAAAGGGCTAGCCTACTATTCTGAGGTGCCAGGCTGTGTATCTGCCTCCCTTCCCGTCCTTTGTCTGGTGTCTGTCATGTCCTCTTGTTTTCTAGACCTTCATCTTCCAAATGATGTTTACCTGGAACACAAGCAGAGAACAAAAGAACTAAGACACGTGACTCTTTGGATCACTGTGCATGCATTTCTGCGCTGTCTCAGAAGAGGCCTGTGCCTCCACCACGCTCCTGAACCTGGGCTGCTCACACAGTCCTCACAAAGACAAGGCAGAGAATTCAACAAGTTTGCCGGGGAAGCAGACAGATAGGAAAAAAGAATTTTTAGAAATGTTGTTTCATAGGATTTCTTTTCTGCCTAGAGAAGCATTCTAGGGTGCTCATGCACATTTTTTTTTTCTGTCAGTCTCCAAATGAGTTGTTCACTTGAAAACTTCAGAAGCTGAACAAATGGGAAATCTAGCAACTGGATATAGGCTCTTTGAGGTCAACAACGATAGTTTTTTTTTTTTTAAATTAAAGAAACATTATTCAGCAGTACTGTATTATGATAGGTGGTAAATTAGTATTTAGCTGCATGGAAATCCCTCTGGCTGTGAGGCATAGATGGCAGATCTGTTATGTGCTTTGTCCCTGATAGCTGGCTGGCCTCTGTTTCCACAGAAAGAACTTTAAGATGCATCTTCCTGTTTATAGTCTAAAAACAAACAAACAAACAAAAAAGAAAGGAAAAACCCAATCAAACCAGAAAAAACACCCCCGAAAAAACAAACAAACAAAAAACATAAAGGAAAGCCTGCACCAACACTTGCAAATGTCACAACATCAGAGTTTTTAAAATTTCTGCATGTTATGGAAACATAAACGTGAAATGCATTTTGCCTGAGTATTCATTTGAACTGAATGGAGAAGCATGAAAATCCTGAGCTGGCCAAGTGAATGGAAACAGGACGTAATCAGGGATGGGGGAGTGCTTGAAAGACACACCTGCTTTTCCTAGGCCAGATAGGTTCCCATTTTGTCTCCATCAGCTAGGACTGATGGCTAATTTAAATGTGATCTGTTGGGGGCAGAATCAAGTTGACCATCCACGAGAGGTGTCCCAAATACTTTTTTATGTAGCTGAAAGTAAGAGTGAATCACAATCTGGTTCAACATAAATTATAGTGGAAACAGTAAAGGTATTCTCATGGGAGTGAACGGAATGAATGAGAAGGAATACAAATCTCACCTTCAGAGGAAGATTCCCTTGTTTGAGAGGCAGAGACTGGTAGGAATTTCTGTTGTACTATAGGATCAGCCTTTCTCCCCTGTGAATGGGTAAGAGATGCTTGTCTTAGACCGGGCTGTTGAGAAGGAGCAATGAATCTGAAACAATGACAGCATTCCATGGTTGATGCCATGACCTTGGTACCACCAAACACAATCGTGTTGATCAGTGGGACCCATTTGACATTTTCTAGTTATTTGAATTAAGATAGTAAAAAGAAATAGGATGCTAGGGTGAAATAATGGCGTAAGGGTGAGCTGTATGGAAGCCAAGGCTGGAAGATTCATACATTTTGAATAAGCTCAAAGGGCAGTGATTTAGACCACCCACTTCAGGGGAGGTTGAGAGAGGGAGCCAGCCTCTGGGCAATGGGTAATCTCATAGCAAACTCTTCTTGTCTTACCATGGCCTGTGTAAACCTCAGCTGCAACAGAAGGCGTCCAGCTCAAACACTGACTGTTAGTTTTTGCTTAGGATTACTTGATGGTCAAATATGGACACTTGCCATCATTCCACATCTGAGTACATAGAGACATGGCAGGAGGAAGAAGGCAGGTGGAAGAAGCAGGTGGCACATTCCTGTTTAAGAGGAATGTGTTAATTTGGTATGTGTTCAGCGGCAGTCTCCACTGGGAACCTCTCAGGCCATTTCAGCCTTCTCAGCTCATTTTTCTTTCATCCATTCACTGTAAAGATGAGATTGAGACTGCACATAGGGTCAAAGGAATAAGATGACTTCTATTTACCCAGAATGAAGTTCCTGCTCGCAGGAGGCAGCGAGAAATCTCTATCGGCACTCATGGCAGCACATACATGTGAGTGAAGTTATCACTTTGATTTGCTTCACAAATTAACTATTGTTGCAACATCACAGTTTGCCCGACGTAAACTGAAGCTAATGTTTGGATCAAATTATGTTCAACTTATGTTCTGTAGAAAAGCCTGCTTTCCTACTTCACCTAGCACGTTACCTATTTCTAACATTTTGTTTCTTGTAAGTGATTGGCTCTACCTTGGGATGGGGATGACTAAGAGCAGAGGTCACAGTGAGACTGCAGACAGGTTCGACAGGTGCCCGGACCAGGAGCACGTAGGAGGACACAGTGCGTGTAACATGCTAGGAAGCGGGTTACAGCCTGCTCAGACAAGATGCCCGTCACACAGATGAGGAAGGGAGAGTGGCAGTATTCACCCTGAACAGGGACGGTGCTGCTGATGGTTCATACTGGGATACTTAGGAGAGTGACGAGGAAACTACTGATAACAACATGAGGTGGGTGGATGCAAACTGGAAGTCTGCAGGAAACCGGAATCATTTGTTACCTTATAAGGAAGCCCTTCTGCACTTGCTCTGTAAAATGCACTTTGAACGTTGGCCAAACAGCTAGAAGGTAGAAAGTTCTGGATTTGGAAGGAATATTCTGAAATCCTCCTCCTTATTTAATAAAAGTCCTCATAGGAGCATGTTTATGTCTAGGGTCATGATGGATGGATGTACTTTGGCCCTGCAATCCCGCTTCAAGGGACTACAGCAGGTCAGGGTTTGCAAGACATCTCCGATGCCACGTCCCAGGTGCTCTGCAGCTGGTCTTTCTGGGCCCGATTAGATTTTGTGTTAGAATGAGTCTTTCTTTCTTTCTTTCTTTCTTTCTTTCTTTCTTTCTTTCTTTCTTTCTTTCTTTTTCTTTCTTCCTTCCTTCCTTCCTTCCTTCCTTCCTTCCTTCCTTCCTTCCTTCCTTCCTTCCTTCCTTCCTTTCTTTCTTTCTTTCTTTCTTTCTTTCTTTCTTTCATTTTACTGTTGTTGAGGCAAAATTCTCACCACTTTAATAATTTCCAGTGGCTTTTGGTGACTCTACAACCCTGAGAAACTACCAGCCCCAGTACAGTTACAAGCCATCTTCATCACCTTAAAGCAGTGGGAAACTGTCGCCTGTATCTCATGCTACTCGGCTACTCACAATGACTAAATTTGCTTCTCCATGTGTTTTCCTATTCTGTGTACTAGTGAATACATATGCCACGTGACTATGCATGCACGACTCTTCCTCAGCATACTGTTTGCAGGATGCGTCCGTATTATGCATCGTACTCCACTATGTTTCAGGGTGAATAACACGTCACTGCGTCTTCCGTCTTCATGCTGCCAATGAATCTGTTGATGAACTTCTGCTTTGTTTCCGTCATTTGTCAGTTTTGAGTATTTTGTTTATGAATGTTTTGTGTGTGAGTTCTTTGGACACATTTTTAACTTTGGGAGCTATATACCTAGGGGTAAGATTATTGGTCCAAGGGGTGGAGAGAAGGCCCAGCTGCTCTTGCAGAAGATTCAGGTCTGATTTCCAACGCCCACATGGTGGTTTACAGGAATCCATTGCCCCAGTCCCAGGGGATTTGTTGCCCTCTTCTTACCTCTAAAGGTACCAGAAATACACACCAGTAAAACATCCATATCTGTAAAATTAGCAAGGTGACTCTTAATGCCATACTGATACATGCGCAGAACTTTCCAGAGAAACTTTTTCCAGTAGATGGGAGCTAACACAGAGAGCCATGACTAGACAATGTTCAGAGAGTGAGGGACTTTGGAAAACTCAGTCCTAAATGAAGTATTTTTACCACACCCCACTGCTCAAGGTGCAGGGATCTATATGGAAGAGGAAATGGAGTGGAAAGATTTTACAAGACAGAGCTGGTGAATGACTCCCAGGAAACAGTATCTTCCAGACACAAGAGGCCTGATACATATACGAACTCAGAGACCATGACAGCACACATAGAACCCACACAATCTCAAACCAGACAAAATCCCAGCACAGAGAGGGGAAAGTAGACACGAAGTCCCACCTCTAACTAATAAAAACATGGCTTTAAAAAAAGATCATTAGTCCATGTATAGCAATGTTAAGTTAATTTTCTGAGGAAGCGTGGAGTTAGTTTCTAAGTAGGATACTTCTAATGGTGTCCTCAGGCAGGTCATGAAGGCAGAGAGTGGGGATAGCTGTCCACGTGAAGAGCCATGTCCTCAAGCAGCTGCCACTCTAGGCTGCCACCAGGGTAGACTTGACTGTGTCTACACTAAGCAGAGCCTGGAAGACAAACTGATTATCCAGTCCCTTACTTCTCCAGTGAGTCCACTGACTCAAACGATATCAAAAATAAAGAAACTGAGGTCACCAAGCTGAAAGGGAGCTGGGAGGGAAGGGAAGGGGTTGGACGGAGGAAAGGAAAAGGGGCAATGATAATTTTGCTTTAATTAAATTATATTAGATAAAATGTGGCTTTGGTGCAATTCTTTCTCCACTTAGGAACAGTATTCTTATTTTTGTGAAATTAGTTTTATTTTTCTATGAGATAGTTTATCTACTAGAAATAAGCCCCCTTTGCCTAGGAACAGGAGAGCCACATGTCTCTGGAAAGTGAAAAGATGGGATTCTGGCTATTTTATCAATATTGTGGCAGAAGCTTGAAGAGGGTTGAGTAGTATCCAGATTTAAAGTGGTAATTCTGTAATTTGTTTAGGTTCTTTTCAGTGGAGGGTCCAAGAAACAAGGTGGTTTTCTTGCTTGTCGTCCAATGAACAAACATGGAATACCTACAGAAATTATCTGAGAAATTGTTATCCATATTTAGATTTTAACATTGTTTTCCAGCTTTACAAAAATGACAGTGTCTTTGAGAATATATGCCTACATTCTATATATCTGAACGCCTTTGATATCATCTGTGAGACATTCTTTGCTTAAAGCAGTTTTTGGGCTGAGTTAGTGGTGCTGGATATACAAAAATATTGGAATATAATAAAAAGTGCAATCTGTGATCATGATTATCCTAAGTTCGGTTTATTATATTTCTATACACCTTCATTCTGGGACATCAGAAGAAACTTACTGTTCTTTACAAGGAGAACTTTGATTATTTCCAGTATTTTCCCATTATCGTGGCGTTTGTTTTGTAAGAATATTTACTTCCCTTTAGGTTCACAAGCAACATACCTTTGCTAATCAAGACAATTGTAATTTTCCTTCAGTAATTTTCAAAGCTTTCTGTGTTGTGAAATCACCACAGACTATAACTAGTAATAAAGCCAATATCTTAACTAACAGAATAATTAGGGGCGGTGACAAAGAGAGGCAGAACGGTCGACCAGGACGGGTGCAGGTCGGGCTCCTCTAAATCTCTGTCCACCACGTACAGGATCCTTGCAAAGAGGCCGCCGCTCAAGTCTTTTGCCAGCCCTTATATTTTACTGTTTTAGAGATCTAGCCTGATTTACATCAGAAGGCGTGAGTACATTTATATCAACTTTTCTTTTTCAGATAACAGAATCATCATTGGGAATGCAGACTGTAATTTGTTCAGTTCCCCCCTCTGCCCTGTTCAGACACTATCATTGTAAACCTCAAGGTCTGATCGTAATACTTTGGTGGTCACTGTGGGGAGGAGAATGGTCAGTCAGGGAGACATTATCCTGCCGCTCTCTTTTGACTAGAGGAGAAACAAAAATAACCAGAGAGAGAGAGAGCAGCGGAGGTTCAGCATCTGTCTTAGGGACCACGTGTCACAGACTCTTTCATTAAAACCTCAACCTGTCTAAGCTGGACTTCGGTGAAACTGTTTTAACCCAATTAGGTTAGGATCAGAGAAGGTGGGCAAGGGGAGAGAAAGGTGGAGGGGCCGCCATAAGCATTTTACGTTCTACTACACTGGATTGTATCGACTATAGGAACTGTAAACTTGCAGGCACAGTGATGCATTTTTGAACATCTGAGCTACTATACACTGAAAACACCATGAAATAAAAATAATCTCTTCACACTTCCCAACTGGCTGTTTATCAACTTTTTCCTTTCCCACATTTGTGCATGAAGTGTCCCTTCACAGCCAGAAATCCTGTGGTGTTTTTGGCTCTGATTTGGACAGTAACTTGCTTATTTTCAAAGTTAACAGCAGAAAGCAAAGAAAAATGTCGTCTATTAGTGTGTTACATTATGTAAAGAAAACAAGATTGCTACACACAGCCATCCACTCTCCTTTCCAACCATTCCCTTAAGTCTTCCCATTTCTAATCTAACCATCATACTGAGCGGTCCCCAAATATTTGAAGTTGAAAAAAGGTCAAGACTGTGGCGGTCTTCAAGTGACTGACCATTTATTTGAAGTTTCCATGGACTAAACCTCCTTGGTCAAGGACCTCCAAGGGGACTCACACAAATAGCTGCAACACAAATTCACTTAACAAGTACAGCAATACTGACAGCTCTCTTCCCAGCAAGCCCTGGCAGGACAGTACAGGGTTCAACCCTTTCAATGGCTTGTGTGCACTCAACTTGAGGGTCGTCAGCCACACATTTATGAAGAGTCTGAGTGTAAATAATGGTATGGTTTTTTTGTTTCAGGCAAGCCTGAAGCTAGGTATGTTCTGTCTGTTGTTTCAAAAGCAAAACTCAATGGTAGGGTAAAGGCCAATAATTCCAAACAATGTTTTATTTTGCTCAGAATAATTAAATTATGCCACCCTAGAATTAAAAGTTCATGGAAAAGCAAACAAATTATAATTATACTATATTCTGGTGTTCTGATGCACTAATTATGTATGTGCACTTCCATGTATCTTTGTAGACACACGGGGACTAGTTTAGAAAAATGAACTGGGAACTGCCAACAGTGATTCTCTGCTCGGAGCAGATCTGGGTTTGGATTGGGGTGATGATCAACTGAGAGGAGTTATTTTTAATGTTTGCCATTTAATGCGAATGCATAAATGTGGCATGTGAGAAATTGAAAATTAGAATCACTTGAAAAAGAAGTTACCTTTTCTGGCCCCTTGCCCTTAAACAGAATGTTGAAGCTATTCCGGATGCCCTGCTAATTTTCCTCTCAAAGATTTTATTGATGGAGAACTTTATTCCTAGTCACTCTAGTGCGCCCCCCTCCAACGCTGTATTTTTCCTTTATCTCCAAGCTAAATAAAGAAAACATAAATATCTCGAAGCTTTTCCTTAGTTCTGTTTTCTTTGTGAAAGATGAATATAAGTGAAGAATGACGGGCAGTGCTGGGAAGCTTTAGGAAGCAAAAGGATGCTGCTGAAGATGTCCAAGATGTAGCAGCAGCGTTCAGGACTATTTGACCATCAGCATCCCTCATAACACGGATTCACTTATGGAATAAAGTATCAGAACAAAAGCTTGGACAACACTCCTTTCTGCGGTATAAGGCCTTTCAGTGGTAAATAGCACAGTCTAACCGATGAGGTCTGCAAGTGAGAGACATAAAATGGACAGAGAGCCATACAGTGGGGATTCAGGCTTCGCCTGCACGTTTTAAAAATCCCTTCATGGTATTTTTAAAACAGAAACAAAAGCAAGACAATACTGTATTTATGTAGCTGGGATAACCAGCCCTCTGGCTCGGCCTGCGAGGGCTGTCACTAGCTTTTTCTCTGCTGGGTTAATTTAGAACTGGCTCAGGACTCCACGAAGCAGCTTGGTGAGAAGTACAATGGTGCATACCAAAGAGCTGAGCAGTTTCCTAGACTGCGCAGGAACTGGAGGGATTCTGCAGACTGACCTGCCGAGGAAGAGGGACGCTCTTCTCCAGCCCTCCCGACAAGAGCTTCTGCATCAGTTCAACCCTTGCTGCTGGAGTTTGCTTTCATTTGATGGGTTCCTCTGCTGTTGGGCTGTGGCCTCATAGGCCGGTCCGGGCAGCAGTGGGCTTGCTTATTCTAGCAGTCTTTTAGAGGATGCCTCGGGCTGTCAGAGGCAGGGCTGGCTCCCGGGGTTGACAGTGCCTGGCCTTTTAAATGGCTTCCACAGTTCTCTTGGAAGCCTCCTTGGTGGAGTCCACAGTTGTTCCAGCGTCTACTTAGCAACGATCCCACAGTTACCTCTTCACCCTTCCTTCCTGTCAGACAGGGCTGCTCCACTTCTGAGTCAGGAGCTTGCTCTCTGGAATAGGGCTTGCATTGATCTTTTAGGGATCTTCTGATTGTTCCATTCGTCTGCTTCTGCTCTTTTGGTTTCTTCTGTGGACTCCCTTCATGTTCACGACACTCCTAGTCCCTGTTTTCTTGACTGCTTTATTTTTTATCCAGGCTTTCTGACTACAGCTACCCTTTGTCTAGTATGATGCAGGAAAATCTAGTCTTTCGATTAAAGCAGCAAACCGTTTAACAAGGCAAGCTTTCTGAATTTCTAGCAATTGATAACTCCAAGAATTGTGTCCTAGGGGAAAAGCAATCACAAAGAAGATTGATTACATATTAAAATTTATTATATTGAAAAGGGTTCACATATACAATCACAATTTAAAATTCTGGTTTACATATAACCATATTGGTAAAACCCTACTTTATCAAAACCTGATCAATACCTGTGTTCATGCCTGTGTGATATCAGTATGGTCATATCCTGTATAAAAAGACCATTCTGTCCTCTTTAGAAAAAAATGTGACTACAATTAAAAATAGGCTTCATGTGTACATTGAGGTGCTGCAATTTAATGACAATAAATAATTTAAATGTTTGTCAAAACATGTTGAAAAGCTATAGGCCATATTGCTAGTTTATATACTCCAAAAATTTAACACTAACGTATTTGTATAATTTTAGAAACTCTAAATGTTAACCTCCTAATAGTGAAATGTGTTAAGGGCAGTAACTTCCTCCAAGATGTATCAACGGAGTTGCTTTAAGAGGACATTAGCTTCATCCAGGACGTGATAATATCGTGACCCTTTGCCTGTAGCTCTGCTCAGCTGGCACTCAGTTTGGAGAGCCAGGAAACCTTGGCACCATTCCTCTGGACTGGATGGTCTGGTTGTTGCTTTTGCCCATTGATAGTCATCCTCTTTAGGGCTGAACCTTAATTTACTCTTCCCGTCCTGCAGCCCAAGGCCATCGAAGCTTGAATATACACACCCAGGCTTCGATATTTGTGCCACAATACTCTAAGATCCAAATGTCTCCTGGAAAAGTTCCAAAAGGCATGAAACAAGAAATGGCAATTATCAGTTGGCAATGACACAGAGTTTCTTTCCTCTGAGTTGTGCCTTTTTAGCAGCTCTTGGTCATGCAGGCCACCACGTCTTGCACAGCTGTGGTTTGACCTCGAGTGTTTTTTTTGTCACATTTTGTTTTTTTTATGAAACGTATCCTGACATTTAGAAGTTCACGGCTTTGAAGAGTTTGTGTGGACTTCCTGCAAGCATTTTATTTTGCTAATGAACTAAAATTGATTTCTGAAATGGACAGATAATGATACTATTGGAGTGAAATGACGGACCGCCAAGTGAAAGGCCTTGCCACTGAAGCTCCTGGTAACCCTGCCTGTGATGCTTGATCTTAATTGTAAAATCACATTGTATAGTGCATTTCAATTGCTTAATTACGAAAGAAAAAAATAGAGTGAGTGGTGGGAAGGGACATCACAGAGTTGACTTGAAGCTGGACTTGCTGCAAAACCCTTGGTCAAGTCACCTCAGTGTCTTGGGGGCTCTGCCGTGCACCTACAGATGTGGTGCAGTAAGGTTATTTAAGGTCTCTCCCAAGGCTTCCAACGTTGAATCTGAATCCCACCAAATTGATTTTTCATAGTCAGGAAAAAAAATCCGAACAAAGCTGAACTGTGAAATATTTGACAAGCATTAACAGGATTGAACATGTTTTAGACATTCAGTGTTCTGTAGGAGAAAAGAAGAGTTAGGAACTATCCCCACCTCCACGGCACCCCACTCCTACCGCACCCCACCCCCACTGCACTCCACCCCTGTACAACTCGGTATTTCTTTAAATTTGAAACACCGAGCAATTGCACCAAGCTGTTTTTGTGCTTCTTGTGGTACGGATGGATAGAGAATGCTCCAACCCATAATTTTACAGGGCATGTTGCACTTTACCAACTCACTCCTGGAAATCTGGATCTGTTTAGGTGGCCAGATTACACGGGATCCTTCCTTGAGAAAGCATCATGAATTTTACTGAAATTGTCCCCCTCTTGGGGGGCGGGGAAGAAAAGGCAGTTGAAAATCAAAACTGCCTGCAGCAGCAGAGTGCTTGTTTCAGTGACTTCTTCAGAGGCAGGCTTGTTAGCAAGCCCAGAAATCTAAGCTCACACTACCAACGGCGACCAGAAACTTCAAAGCTCTTCATTTATAATATGCATATTTTACTAATTCTTCTTCAAATCAAATTTACCACTTGATTCACATGCAAAAATACAATTGTCTGTACAATTTTATGAGTGGATGCAGAACATGAAATTGGGCAGAGAATGTTCACATTAATTAATGATTCTTCAAGACAAAAATACTCCTTTTTTATTGCCTTAGTTTAAGAGAACTGTCTTAAAAGTATCAGAGAAGGTTTTAGAAACAGGTGAAATAGACTTGCTTAATAAAACACCACAAAACACCTCACTTTATTTTTATCCAGGGATAAAAATAGTGCATATGCATATATTTTCAGATGAAAAGGTATAAATAAAAATCCAATTGTAGAATAGATAATTTGAATTAGCAGGCTACTATTTTTCTGACTCTATTCACAGGAGACTAGCCTATCCATTGATACCAAATAAGCTGCTACAATGTTTGATAGTGCTTAATCACTTTTTTAAAGGACAAAGTGTTCTGTTGCCTATAAAGAAGGCTCATTCTCATAGGCTTTCATTCTGAATAAGACACTTGTATGTTTGCTATGCATGGTTCTTTTATAGTGATGAGTGGAGCAGTTAACACAGCTCTATGTAGACAGAGAAAACCAAGACTTCCGCTACAATTCCGAAGTGTCAAGCAGTAAGATTTATTTTACCAGAACTGAAGGGGAAATTTTCGAAAGAGCAAGTACCTAAAGCTAGGAAAGCTGTTTGGATCAGGAGCTAATCAATGGGAGCCCCTGGAGAGGCAGCGGGGATGCTGAAGAAGTTAGGTCGGGGTCTTTGTCGTAGGCACAAGGGCAACCACGCATTTGCTCCCTCAGCAATGGTGGTCCTTCATGTGACTAGGCTGGCTTGTCGACACGTTAGGACAATAGTACAAAACCAAATAAAAGGAAAATCTCAAAACTGCTTGCCACCCAGGATTATTTGAACCTGGTTTTAAGTGAAAAAGCTGTCCTTTGTAGAAATGACGAACATAACAAATCACATTTTTAATGGACCAACTTATTCAAGAACTCCCCAAATAGGAATTTTGTTTTGTGGAGATATCTTCTTAATGTTCAGAAGAATGACATTTTATTTATGGCCTATTCTGTGAAATCAAATCTGTGGGGGAAAGTGATACAAGAGAATTTAAGAAAATAATTATGTCTCTGTGGGAAAAGGCACAAAAACATCAGGGTTGACATACATGATTAAATTCATTTCAATGTCAGTCAATTGTTTTTTTAAGCTGCTAGAAACATACATGTGATACCAATATATATGTTATACATAATCATATTCTATATAACTATATAACTATATAACTATATAACTATATATATATATATATATATATATATATATATATATATATATATATATATATATATATATATATATGTTGTTATCTTCTACAATCATTCTCCAAACCAGAAGAAAAAGAAAGGAAGGAAGAAATCAGATTTCTAACATGTGGCTGGAGTGCTGAAAAAGTTTGCCAGACTCTGCTTTGTAGGTTGAAGCTGGCCTGTGCCCTGGTGAAGTCCATCTTGAACAGCGTGCTCCTATGAGCCAAAGCTTCAATCAAGTCCGTTTACACAGACACTCATTCTCCCCTGCTCTTAAGACATATTTGCTAAGATGTCATAGACATTGATGACTTGCACTTTGATTTGTCAGGTCTAGAAATGCTATTTTACTTTAGAGATGGGCCGAGGCCTCAAACTCCCATACTAACCTAAGTATTGATTGCTCACGGGGAAAGGCAGTGGAGGACAAGGCCGACTTCCTTGTACTTGGCACTTAGCTGGGTTGTGTTATTCTTTAGAAACACTGATGTTTGGGAATGACCGTGACTCCCAAAGACCTCCACACAAGTGCTTCGCCTCTTGTGCTTTTATTCTGTTGCTCTGCACCCTTCCAGTCTTTCATGCTGTAGATGTTACCCCAGTCCTTTTGGAGAGTTGAGGAGAGGACACCAAAAAGGTGTGGTGACTCTGAAACTTGAGATTTCTTTGTTTATATATAAAAAACAAGGTATCAGAAAAACTCTTACATCTTGAAGGTCCTGGTGCCATCAAGAGCAGCATCCCCTGGAAACCATCACCTGAAACTTGTTAGAAATACAAATTCCTTGGCCCTATCTCAGTTGTAAAGAGTCAGGAGGTCTGGAGATGGACCAGCAATCCTTTCACAACCCTTTGAATGATTTTGTTATGGGTTCAAGTTTCAGAATGGTTCTAAAGAAAAGGATTCTTTCCTCCTATCCACCACTAGTCATTATGTTCTGTTAAATTTGCTTAACATCAATGAGTTTCTGGTTCCCACATCCAGAAAATGAGGGATGCTCAACAGTGAGCCTTCCAGCTCTGACATTCCCAGGGTCTAGGATTCTAATTACTCTGTAAAAGAGAATTCATTAGGAAAAAGCAATGCCTAGACATCTGGTCACAGTGATAATCTAATACCGTTCAGCCACACGCCACATCCACGAGTTTAATGCACAGTGATCCTTCTCAATCCTCATTAGCTTCAGATCTTCCTTGTAGCAGCTCATATAAAATAAAATGAGCCTGCTAAATAACTCAAGAGCAATTCAGTTGCAAGTAAGTAGAATAAATTACCAGGATCTTACTTTTAATTGTTGAAAATGGTGCACAGCTTTAATGATATTGTAAAATGGGTTTTAAAAGTATACAGCTTTCTTTGGAAGGTTTTCTTTCCACATTTATCATAAACCAAATGCCGAGAAAGTACATTATTATGCCTGTAAGCACTAATAGTTTGCCATAACTACCTCTTCACTTTATGCAATTTATTTAAAGCTTAAGAAGTGATAAGCTTATTTTTCATAAGTGTCTGGTAGTACAGACTTCTATATACCAGTGGAGGTCAGTTACCCTAAATGACTGGATAGTATCTTTCTGGACTTTTTATTATTCTAAAAGCGATTTTCAAGTAGTAAAATGAGTTCCAATTTATTCAAAAGTGTGTCACTTGATTTGGCTAGTTAGAGTTTCCACTGAGAAATGCTATCTGTGTATATTTCTTACTATTAGACATCAACCTGAGTGTTTACTTCATAAGCCTGGGGTATGACTCTTCTGTAACAAGAGCCCAGAGCCCTGGGAAAGACAGCCGTTTGATATTGTAAGTTTTTGTTATATTAACCACGAAGACAAAATTAACTGTCCTCACCTCATTATTTTACTAATTGGAGTAGTTTTTTTTTATGTGTGTGGGATATGCTAGTATTTGAGACTCACTGCTTTGAGAAATGAAGTGAGCAGGCAGATGGTTCCTTCTGCTAAACAGAAAAAGCTCCTCATCCACATGTAGACCAGGTGTGGTCCAGCCTTTCATCCTCTTGTCTGCTCATCATCTTGTTAACTGAGATGCATACAAGGCGTACTTGGCTGCTTTGTTGAAAAGACTCTGTGAATATGCTTCCCCCCAATATAACCAACTCCGAGTAATTGTAAACTTCCCCACGATTTTGTGCAACAGCAAGAATCTAGTGACCAACAGTATTTTGTTGTTTATTTTCTTATCCTATGTAGATCAGTAAATTATTTTTAAAAAGAATCCAGTTAAAAATAACTGGAGATCAGTTTCAACAGTGGTCATGTTTTGACATTTTATAGAAAGCTGTCGCATTCTCCTACTTACAGTAGGTGATTCTAAGTCGTTTCCTTTGGGTTTGAGGTGGGTACTGAAATTCTTTGTATCAAAACCTGTTAAAAATACGTAAAGAAAAACAATAAATGGTCTGGTCCGCTTTTTCGAGTGTCCTTGCCATTTGTCCAGAAGGGGGCGCTCTCAGTCCGTATGCAGCAGAGCTCAGAGCTGTCTGGTATATTATCCGAGGCTAGGAAATTGTCTGACAGGAAAATATCAACACAAACCATGCGTTTTGCCGCTGGAGCACGCTGGACCTCATCTGCTTAAAAAGATGCACGGATATAGTCATCACAGTTCATAATTTAATAAACTGCTAAAAAAACCCACACATTTTCATTTTAGCGACTTTGGTCTCACAACTAAATTCGCATTGCTACAAAGACATTTGAATTTTGCACTAATATGTCATGAGCACTGCACCCACTGCAAATTAATGAGTCTCTGAATAGCACTGTGCATTTGTCATTTGAATTTATGCTAATGCAATGAGGTCTCCTGGTGATGCTGATAGTCCATAGCAGCCGCCCGAACCGGAGAATACGCCGGCACTTCCCTTCCACTTTATATCGCTACCTCCTCTTGGCTTTTCTGCCCTGTCACTTAGGCAGCAATCCTGCAGCTGGTTATTGATAGGGCTGCTAATTATCTTTGACTTTACACTATTGGCCTGACCCCCAACACCGAGCAGAAGTAATGGATCAGTGTTGAGAGAATTATGTACATCACACAGTGACGGCCTCGGACCAGAAGGTCAGAGTGAGTTCACCCAGACCCGGTGGTATTTGCAAAGGATGTTGATACAGAAATTGTCGACAATTTCCAGAGATACTGTGTAATTTATATCAATAAGTCAATCTAAGAAAGTGCTTGGACTTTTTGCAGACATGATGAGCAGCATTTGTATGCTCAAAAAATAGAAGGCCCACCCTTTTGTTTTCTCACGTCTGTCCTGTTTATATTGCAACTGAAGACAAAGGCCCCTAGTACTTCTGGGTTATTGGGGCACCTGCGTCTTCGCTATGGTTGCACAAATTTCCTGTTGGTCATGGGTATGTGGTGGGTTGCCGGCATCTTGGGCATGCTGTATGGAGGAGGATGCACAATAACATTTGTCAGTGGCAAAGCGTTGCACTGTTCTTATCCTTTGCCTCAAGACTTAACTGTGAAGTTGATTTTCTTCTTGGTTTTGTACTTGCATTTGCCTGCTTCTAGTTACTGCATGTAAAAAAAAAATGGGCATTTTATTCCAGTGTATTCAGAAAAAATCAGATTTTGTGCTTAGAAATAACATGAAAAAAATGAATAAAAAATTGAAAATCTCAAACAAAAGTATGTGTCTATTTTCCACCTTTTGAAAATTGATCTTGGAGGAGGTATGGTTCCTCCCCAGCAGAGACGAGTATGCAAACTTTTCCTACTATCTTATAACAATTAAAGCACACACATAAATTTTGCTTAACATATAGCATTGGTAGCATCCATTCCCAGGACATAAACAAGGCAGAGACAAGGGTCAATTCCTGGACTTTGTCAAGTAGAAATGGGTAGGATAGCCCCTTGAGCGACTTAAGAAGCATGGCAGGAGAAATGAAGGGACCCGATATTCCTACAGAGTCCTCAGAATGAAAAGGCTCCTCTCTGAACAATGAAACTCACAGGAAGAAGAAGAATTTAATCCTAACACTTCGGCCTTGCAAGCTGCTCAGGGCACGCACTGACCCCAGGAGAGGTATGTCTTGCTGGCCCGCTCTGTACCTGTGGGCACCGGGCTCAGGCTTAGAGGGCTGCTCTGGAGACGGAAGTCTGGGGGAGAAGGCAGCTCATGGATTCCTCCTCAGCTGTAGCTCCTCCGTTTCCCATCAAGGAGGGGAGACGTTTTCACTCTTCTTGGAAAAACTTTGAAATGTAAACTGTTTCGATTGATGGCTCCTTCTGGCCCTGGCAACTCTTTTTGGTAGCTGGTGCTCTTTCTGTAATACTTGTTAAAAACGTCTCTGTAGCAAAGATGTTGTTTTTTATGTGATTTTTTTTTTTAAAGACGGCGCATGTGTGAGTGCAGACAGGCTCTCATCCTGCGCAGCAGAGACTGGCAGGTGAGCGCCTCCCCCTGTTGTCCTGACTCATTTGCAATACTTTATAAGATTCCTCTCTTGGAAAGCTGTTTTCAGTCGAAACTGTCAATCGGATTCCAATGTGGTCCCTCTCACTGGGAATGACTTCTCACATCCTGTGAGGATGCTGTGGCCAGGAGTCCCTTTCCTAGCCTGGATTTGTTCAATGGGCCAGATAACCTGCCCCTACCCCTTCCATGGAAAGACCACAGAGACGGTTCTAAAGAAGCAGATAGACATGTTTATCTTAAAGATCATGTTCAGTGTTTAAACCACATACATTACCTCCAACCCCCTACTCAATCATTTTATTTTTTTAATAAAAATTTCATTTTATTCAGTCATCTATGAAATGACCATGTGCATGGGATTTTTAACACATCTGAGAAGAATTCAGGAGGTAAAATTAATCATCCTGCTTAAAGCAACTGGTTCAAATAGTGGAATTTGTTAAACCACACAAAGCAGGATGAAAAATACCCATGTCGGTCTGAACTTTGACTCCTCATGTGGCTCTGATGGCCTTCTTGCAATGATGAGTCATTCTCCATCCTGTGTTCTCCAGGAGCTGCTTTGTGAGTTATGGATTGTTATTTGTTGGGACCCATTTTTCTTTCTTTGATCATGCCAGATGCATTACAGTACAATTTGCTTTCCCTAAAGATTGAATTTTCTTGTGTGTTCCAAGTCTAGTGATGGCCTTTTTCTAAGTGGGTCCACTCCCCACCCCAACCCCCCGCTGGGATTGTTACCTGATGACTATGAGTTCCCCCACTTGCCAACCACTGTGTCAACCAAGAGTGCATTCTGTCACCACGAGGCTACAAATCAATAGAATTGTGACTTGTCAAGTGTTAGGTCAGGGACTGAGTGGCTATTTGACATTCCGGAAAGAAACTTGGGTCTGCTGTAGTCGCCTTTATCCACATGTCTGCACAGGGGGTCAGAAACACTTCTTTCCCCTTGCTCCTACAGATAGACAGACAGAAGACAGACAGATGTTCAAACACAACAGGAGCACATAGGCATACATTCTCTAGTTTTGCATGCTCCCTTATATATATGCATGCTTATATAAGTGAATGTATATTTATGAATATGTATGTATATGTGCATATGTTTACATATGTAGATATGTGAATAACTATGTATATACACACACAAAATTAGGCTGGAATTATCATACTGTTATTTTTAGTTTTTAAAGTTATAGATTAACAAGAAAGAGTGGTGTGATGTTATCAAAAAAATTTCAACAGATTTTCAAATTATTTACTGAAATGTAGGTACATTTAATCTTTCCTAAATGAATAAGACATATCTAATTCTCTCCTTCTGGACAGGTTCTTTTGCTAACTGCCTCTGCTACATCCTAGCATGTGAGATCCTATATCCTTTGTGCATTTTGAGTCCTAGAGAGTGAGTGTGAGGATTGTGCCCAGGCCTCTGCCTTCAAGACACCTGTAACTGATACAAAAACAGGATTAGAGCACCATGAACCACATAGTGTAATTAGAAATAAATAGAAAACTGCAAACAATGTAATTATTCTCTTGCATTGAGGAGAACAGTACTAGGTGCTACTTACCTTTCGTAAGTGTGTTTTTGAATTCTTAAGTATAATTCTTACTTTGTTGTTTTTTTAGAACATAGAAAAATTCAAAGGAGAAACTAAGTGACAGAACCCTTTGGTAAGTCTGGTGTCTAGCATCTCTTTTCTACACCTGCTCTTCTCTCCCTTGGCCTGTAGGAGTCCTAGGAGTTATGTTGAAATTCCTCTCCACTGCCATGGCCAGGGTCCTAACCAAGCAGAAGCCAAACCATATAACCGTTTTTGTAGACTCAGATGGAAATCGTGGGAACACTGGCCTTTCCAGGAAGGATTTAGCTGTCAGTCAGTCCTTGCCACTGTAGAGCTTACGTCTTTCATTACAACAGGCTTAAACTTCCTAAATAGAATGATGATAATGAACTGATAAGAGACCAAGTCTTACTGTGCCATACTGGTAGGCCTGGAACTCTGCATTTGCATTAGACTGCCCTTGAACTCAAACAAACCTCCCTGCCTCTACTTCCTGAGAGGTGGGGTTAAAGGTGTGCTCCACCACGCCCTACCTGGTGATTTACTTGCAAAGATACAAAACACTCCTGTTCGCAGAGTGAAGATGAATCTGTAAACAATTAGATATTATTTAAGATCCCTTCTCAAGTAAAAATTATGATTTTTTTATTTTTCCAAATGGTAGAAAAAAGAAATTTTAGTTTTTCAATAAATATTTCTATTATTTTTTTGTGAATTTAATACAATATATTATAATATTCACTCCGACTCCTTTTCTTAACTCTCCCCAGACCCAACTTGCCTCCCTACCTTTCCTAATTTTATATCCTTTTTTTTAAATGTAGCAACCTATCAACTTTGTTTTGTGCCGTTCATATATTTCTGGGTATGATGCTGTTCAGTGGAGCATGGTTGATTTACCAGGAGCCGTCCCCTCAAAGAAAACTGACTCTCCCTCCCCAGAAACCACCAGCTAACCATGGCTCCTTGTTATGAGTGGGAGCTCATGACTCCCCTTCCACCCCATGCTAGAAGGTAGTCTGGCTTGATCCTGTTCGGACAGCCACAGGTGCTGTGAGTACCTGAGTCCTCCCGTACCCAGAAGACACTGTTTTAATACAGTCCTCCCTGACCTGTGGCTCTTAAAACTTTCCTGTTCCATTTTCTGTGATTGTCCTTGAGTTTGGGGAGGGGTGGGATGCCACTTGTGACTGAACATTACATAATCACTTGTCCTCTGTACTTTGACGAGATGTGAGTTTCTGCAACAACCCTGCATCCATTCCACCAAGAAACTTCTTTGAGGAGGTTTAAGAAATGTGATAATCTATGGAACAGAGGGAAGAATGCAGAGTCCATTTTGATACTATGTCCCTTTAGCAACAAAACAAAAACAGCAATCTTTCCAACCAAAAATAAATAAGCATTAAACAAAGAAAATCCCCCAAGCCTGTGTCTTGCTAACTAATAGGCCCTACAGGAGGCTCTAATGCTGCTTTTCTGCTCGACGGGCATAGTTATAAACTGCCCTCTAAGTTCCTGTCTTTATACTTCTATAGTATTAGTGCATCTCTCAACCCTCACCGGAGAAGCTTTTTTTTTTTTTTTTTTTCAGTTATTAGTATAGAGACTTACAACTGGTCAACTTTCAGCAAACAAGAGACTGTGTTGTGCTCAGTTCTCAATGGACATCTATTGTAATACCCTCACACCAAGACCCAAGAATCATTGAAGAAAACGGTTGTGAAAGCCAGAACAGTAGATGTCTGCAGTAAAACAGTATTTGCTGGACACGACAGCACCATCACATACACAAACTTGCAGTGGCTGTGATTGCGTGTACAAAACTTGTACAAGATCAAACCAGCCAAAATCCCAGCATGGATGTTGGAGGTGCTCATGAGGCCCCACCCTTAGTTGAAAAGTTCTTGGTAATTGATGGGGCTTCTGGGGAAGGGGGAGTCAGTTTTCTTCAGAGATGCAGCCCCAGAGAGGTTTCTACACGCCAGCAGATGATCTTATACCCATTAACATATAGGAAGCACTCAGCAGACTTGGTGGGTTTTAAATAAGAAGCAAGTGAGGTTGGGAGGGAAGGTGGTCATGGAGAGATAGGGCATAGACTGGGAGAAAGGAAATGGGGTGGGGTGGAGCAGAACACACTGTGTACAAGTACGAAGTTTCCATCCAAATAGTGGGAATGAAAATGATTTTTACTTTAGGACTTGAAGAAATAGAGAAGGGAAGGATATACTTGTATCTATCTGTCTGTCTGTCTATCTATCTACCTATCATCCATCCATCCACCCACCTACCTACCTACCTATTATCTATCTGTTCATCCATCCATCCATCCATCTGTTCATCCATCCATCCATCTGTCTATCTATAACCTGTCTGTCTGCCTGCCTACCTACCTACCTACCTATCTACCTACCTACATACTACCTACCTTCTTACCTATCTGATCCTGGAGAGATGTGTGAGGGAGCCCAAGGCAGAGGAAGCACGAAGCAAGTCTGCTGGAACTTCTTTTGAGAGTCAGTAAAGTTTGCTATTATATTCCAAGTTCTTAGCTAGTTCGCTGATATTGAATAACTTGCTTTTCTGACATAGACATGAGAATGGAAAATCGAAAAGTCTCTTAACCCCCAAGGTATAGAATGAGTGTACATCATTAGAGTTGTGTATATTGTGTAAAAAGAAAGGCAACAATTTTAACGTCTTTGCACTTCTAAGAGTGCTTACAATAAAAAATAGTGAAAGTGAGAAGATTGGGATTATGATCTAGTACTTTTAGGTCACATGAGAAAATTTGTAGTTTGTAATTAAAAGTTTTAACATGCTGAGTTAACAGATACAGTTTTATACACTTACGATATAAGCATTATATATTTGTATACATTCTGAAATTGTTGACTCTAGTTAACAAATGCTTCACATAATGATCAAGTCTGTGGGGACAGTGCTCACCATCGGCAATGCGTTGCCAGTGAACACACCCTCACTCATGTATAGCTGCCATGTCACACACCAGATTTCTAGATTCATTCCTCTACTCTGGGTTACGGACGTAATCTTTGACCTAAATCTTTTTCAACCACCCTCCCCACTGTCCACCCACCCGTGTTCGCACTCTGCTTCTGTCAGGTCAAGGCTTTCAGACCCTCCCGTGAACAAAATGATCCTGCATTTTTCTTTTTGTGCCTGTGTTATTGCATTTCATGTCTTCTATAGTCATCCATATTGCAAAAATTACAGAATTTCTTGGGTTTATGGTGAAATAGTGTTTCCTTATGTACATTTTTCTTTTTCTTTTTTTCTTTTT